TTATGTTTGTCATAGTACAGACAAAAGCTTAGCACAGTTTCATCGGGTCGCAGAATGGTGAGACGAGGACTTTTTCGCACAATTTAACAGTCTTCCTCACGCGAGAATCATTCTGTCTTCGGTGAGATCACATCACGAATTCCTTCCAACCAACTTCCTCTTCGAAATGGAGAATCATGCCACAATATTTCATTGAGGAATTCTTAGAAACCCTGTTTTTCTTCATATCTTCCAGTTGCCTAAAGCCTTAAAGTTTATCTTGCATAGACTATCTTTTAGTAGCCATGGTGCAGCAAGCCAGGCCTTTCTCATATCAGATTTGTTGTCGGAATGTCAATGAGGTATGATATTTTCTCATCATTTAAACTATAATGACATTTTGAAGACGATACTCTTCTCTTTGCCCAAGGATCTCAAAAGAGATCTCTGAGAAGTTTCCGCTATTCTTATAACTATCCACTTTATTTAGAATTTATTTGTTCAGAATTTATATATATATATATATTTGTGTGTGTGTGTGTTTGTTTGTTTGTTTACCATTAGACACAGACATCTCAACGTTTAACCTGTTGCGGCAAATTATACTTACATAATATAAATTTTTCAGACATCCTATTTGTATGGGTTTAACTATTCGAACAGCAGACAAAAATATATTTTTAGTGTTGGTTCGACCTCGTTTTCGTAACTTGGTCGGAGCGTCAGAGAGACCTTGTGGAACGCATCTGTGTCTTCTGCCATAGTATTCGTTATTTTCCGCATTGGACCATTGGCTGGGTACATTCCCAAACTTTTCGCCAGCATCGTCAGTGAGAGGCGCCATTTTTAGCACAGATTTACAATTGATCAAAGTTGCAAGTAAAGACAATCCCCAAATATATTTTTATAGAATGATTATTCTTCAATATCTCTACACCACTTTTCAGGTTAAATGCATGAAACACTGATTTTTTTGGCTCCCCACTTTTAAAGTTGACGTTATGCTGAAAATATTTTGTTAATATCAGCAGTTTATATAATATAGCAGGGCACAAGGTGATTACTTGTTTGTTGATTATCATGTTTGATGACGACAAATAGGAAAAGTGAATTGATAGACTGTAATGTGTATTAATGAGTAATGAGAATAAGTAATGCTTTGAGGACTCTTAGCTGGATCTATTTTCACTTTCTCCCTTACATGTGATTGACTCTTTGGATCATTCTAGCCAATTTGATTGCTTCATGCTTTACTTTCTCGTTTTTACCCAATAAAATTAGCTACACTTGATTATTATTACTGGAATGGCTTCGCTGTTTATCTGAAACTCCGCGAACACTATGCTTTACTCAGGTAAAATGACCTAACCTTCAAGGAAGTGCTATTTGTTTACCACTCCTAAGGTTATTTACTTTCTCATGATGGCTTAGAATTCCGCTTAATTTTGGTTTGATGTCTGAATTTACCTTCTTTTCTTTCCTGCCTATAGGTAAACCTCGATCAGATTCGTTCAAGCTGCTTTCCCTTCCACGCCGGCGTGGCAGTCTTTCCTCCTTGACGAGTGCTCCAGCAGCCAATCGGCTAGCCTACTCCATTGCCAGTTCGTCCATACGAAGGCCTGGCAGTGCTGGTCGCCCTGTTACGACTCTGGACAGTGGCCTTGGTACCAGTGCTGGATCGTCTATTCGACAAACAAATACACTTGGCCGTCATAACATGACAGGCTCTGGCGCCGGGACTTCGAATAGAATGGGTCTTACGAGACAAGAGCGAATTGTTTCAAATGACGAGTCGAAACAATCCGCTCATCATCATCAGCAGCAGCAGAAACGAGCGCATTTACATCAGAGCATTCCATCAGGTCAATTCCATAAAACTGACTCTGACCGTCCTTCTGAAGATAGGAGTAGGGATAAGCAAGCCTGGGATGTGGAAGATGACCTCTCAAAAGAAGTATGCAAGGTTAGATACGTCTCTATTCTTGACAGTCACCAGAGCTGTCTTGTCTTAGTCCATCTGCCGACGGCATTACTAACCTGATTTTATCTGGTAAAAATGCCGTGGTGTGCAGGTAGCGCAATAAACTTATTATCCGAATTAAAATGGACTCAGCTGATGCAAAAGTTACCCCCTCTTGCTTGAATTGTTAATTCCCACAAATTTATCAGCATTGCTTTATGTTAAAATCATTGCCTTCTATTCAATACAAGTATCAGCTCTTAGACATTTATAACTCTGGGGATGTTTTGATGTTCAATATTTTTGCTCTGTACTTGGGCCATACTTGGTCACCACTTCCTAGAAGTCTAGCTAAAGTAATCACTGATTCTCTAAACTGCTTTGCTCTTGTTCATTTAAATGTACCTTAATTGGAATAGGGAATACTTTTTTATATATGTTATTTGTTGGTAGCATATCTTTCGTTTCGTTTGAAAAGTTAGGTGGAAAGGATTCGTTAGTTGCCCTCGCCGAAAACCTAAGAAAGTTTATCTTGGAGCTATGAATGCCAAGTTTTGAGAAAAAACCTTGGATCACTGCCCTGCTATCCCAATGAATCCATTCTAAACTTTCATCTCTCATGTGAGGGACATCATCAGAGCCAGAAATAATAATAATCCACCAAACACTAATAAAGTATTAGTAGTTTTTATTCATTGTCGATCTACTCTATTATTATGATATATTGTGATGTAGGGATAAGATTATTTCAGCATCCAGAAGTTATAACAGGAAAACAGATATGCAGAGTCAATTACGATGACGTTTGAAAATTGCAGTTATTTGCTTTTTTTATGTGTTCTGGTTGATAAAGAAGAGGACGAATTGATCAGGAAGTCTAGTCTGTGTGCTTCCTAATGTAATAATACGTATGCATAGCAGGCAGTAATCACTATGATCAATGAATACAAAGGTTAGGAAAAAATTTAATCCGGAAAAATTATTCATTGCTATTAATCGTCCATAATTTCACAGTGTTAAGGAAAATCAACTATTAAGGGCAATATAAGGTAAACTCTTCATCCGGGTTCCTGTTGCCACTGTTCATCCAGCTCTCTAAAAATGTTAGACTAATTACTGAGGAAATTGGACATCAGGACGATAAAGATAGAAAGGCTCATAATTTGTTTGATTATGCCTTTGTTTAGAAAATTTTATTTATGTTAGAAAGCAGTTATGTGCGTATTCACAGCCCTCTTATGTATCGACTCCATTCATCTGCAAGCATGTAGATAAGTGTGAAGTAACCAACCAAATAATAAAGATATCAAAATTAGGCATAAGGAGTAAAAAAGGATTTAAGCCGGCCACCTTTCTTAGTTTAGTGTTTTGGTGAAATTTTTGCAAATATTTGTTTTTGGCTCTGACAATGTCAGTCACATGAAAGACGAAAGCTTAGCACAGATTCATTTGGGTCGCACGATGGTGGGCCAAGGTCTTCTTCGCAAAATCCGGCATTGAAAATCTCCCGTCTGTCGTAATGTGAATTTAGCCTAAAAAGACCCATGGATGCAGAGATAATGGTTAGCACATGGCTGCGGATAGGATATACAAAGAGCAACTGGTAGTTAAATTTTCCCTTAATGATATATGTTTACCTGACGTTTTATGGAAATCAAGGATATGTGAAATTCAACGGAAACCTCAGCTTTACTCATGTTATTGTGGGAAAATTAGACTACCATTCCTTTATC